CTCAAACGAAACGACACATTTTCAGATAGCGCTCAACGAGATGGCTTCAACGCCGCCGTTTCGGCACTTCTGTACAGCAGTGACTCTTTCTGCCGTTGAGAAATCGATCTTTGAAAATCGGTCCAGGGGGTTTGTTGTCTTGTGTCGTATACGGTTTCCCGGGCATTGGCACTATTGAACCGGCACTAAACAGGGACCCCCTCTGTAACACGACAGTTGTTTACTTTTTGCTGCTGGTTCTTTCGGGCAGGACCGCATGGAAAAGATGAGGGCAGAGCGGCTGAACCGTGGCAGGGGTCGCGGACGAGGCAGGGGAAAGGGCCGCGGGAGGGGGGGGCGTGGACGAGGGCGTGGGCGTGGTGGCGGTGGCGATGGTGGCGGAGACTGAAATCAGACCACAGGAGCAAAGTATCGCATTGCAGTGTAGTCAGACAGCAGAAAGAAAGTGTCGTGTGTGGCAGGGTGGTGGGGGAGACTCAATGGGGCCACAGACAGAAAATGTCGCGCAACAGATAGGCGTGGACGGCAGCAGTGTTGAAGCAACAAATATATGCAGCGTATTTAGTGGTGTATTCGTGAGGGAGGTTGTGGGGGGGGGGTTCACGCAGCGAGGTAAGGCGTTGGGCGATGTGGCGGAACTTTTTATCAGGACTGGATGGCCTTGCGACTGCGATGCTGTTGTAACTTGGAAGTCTCGTGACTCTGATGGTATTTGTGTGAGTCTTTTGCACGCGATTTTTTCTTGGCGTTTGGTGTCGTGTGTGCCTTGTAGCTTGTGGCTGCCTCTGCGGCAGGGTTCTCTCGCCCGATCCTTTTCTCACGCGTGGGAGGGTAAGGATAAGACCATTGCGGGATGTCGTGGACATTGTCACACTGCGGCTGGTTATAGGCCGAAAGCTTTTCCAACTGTTGGAAAACAACAACTATTGGTCGCGATCAGGCGAGAGGTGGGAATGGATGGGTCGGGAAAATTGCGGCAAGATTGTGAAGAAAAGAACAAATTCGACCAGGAGCGGGACAATGGATAGAGACGCAATTGATCCAAGTATGGTGGGGAGAAATTTAGCGGCTCGAACCAAGGCGTTTTATGTTTGGGAGAGGTAAGAGTAAGGCGTGTGTGCGGGAGGGGGCGTTGTTAGGACTTCCATCGTGCTGCTGATGTGTTCTAAGATTTAAGTACCCTAAACAATGATGAATATACACACTGAATATGCCGAGGAATAGTGCACCGCATAGTTTTAGCGGATCCGGACCTGAATATGGCAAGGAACACACAAGACAGACGGAGAGCAGGCACACGAAAAAAACTATTTCGGGCGACAGAATAAAAATTATTCGGTGCACCGCGGTGAATCATCAGACACGACGTATACATGATGCCGCAGGGGAAGTTCTAGCAAAATGTCTGCACTACGTGAACACTGGCTGGAGCTCCTCCTACCGGCCCGAAAATGCTGTAAGTGCTACTGATACCACGTGTACCGAGTGTTCAGGAAGCATCTACTCCTGTATCCGCCATGAGCTAGTACGCACTGCGGGATGCTCTCCCCGTTTTTTTTGTCGCTGACCTGCTCAGCCAAGTTTTCGCAATGCGTTGGCATCACTGCATGTTTTCGTAAGGAATGTGGTCGGACTCAACTAAGTACTGTTTGGTGCAGGTCCTTCATCTGGATCATCTGGAGTTTTGACTTCCTTCCCAGTGTGGGTGGCGGTCCGTAGCATTTGCCTTTTAGTCTTGGGGAGGCGAGACAAGAAGAAAACGGCTTGCTTGCCAATCAAACGGAAGGTCGATGGTCATTGCATAAGCACGATGTACTGCTGTGCTAGTCTACCTCGCGATCGTTTTACAGAGACGTCACTCTTCTTGAGAAAGAGCAAATAAGGAGAAGAAGGCTATGTTTTCGAAGAGAAGGAAGAAGGAACAGAACACACCGACCAGTGGCATCATCAGAGACAGGGGGTGCAAACTGCCTGTGCGGATCTAGTCGATTGGTTGCTGCTCGGCGGGAGTCTCCGTATTCCGATCCCTAGCTGGTCACGGTGTGTATTTACTCTCCGCGTATTGAAATTGTGGCTTAACGCTGTCTTCAGCAAGCCGATTTTTTATTGAGTCCCACGCCAACTTTTTGGTCTCACGAAAAACGATAGGTAGAGAGAGCCCCCCAGCTTTTATTTTCTTCCACGTACAATATAGACGACCCAGAAAAAAAAATATGTATGTACCTGTATATATATATATGGACTCCGTCAATAATTTGTCGAGGGCATGGCAAGAAGAATGAAAATGTGGTCTCATCTTTTTGCGTTCGTTTCAGGAAAACACTACTACTGTCCTTGTCGACGAGCGAGCGCATCCTACCTAATACAAGCGCACTTTTCCGATTGTTCACTGCATGCAGCTTGAAAGGCTGCTCATTTCACTCCAAACGATGGGGGAAAACAGGATAGATAGGCTACACGCTCATACTTTCTAAAATATGGCCGCTAAATAGTGCTTCCAAGAAGCTAAGGACTAACATCGCAGCAGAGGATGGACCACAACAACAACGCAGAGTTTGCTTTCCAAAGAAATGCCCCACACACTGCGTACTACTTCAACATGAAAACGGATCATCAGCACCCTGCTTGCGAAAAAAAGACAGGAGGTGCCATCCACCCCCATCACGCCTGTCTCTCCACAGACTAGTACAACCCCCAATCAGTACACCCATAACTGCAGTCGCATTTCCGAAGCCAAATTGAAGCCGACCCGCGATTCAAACACGAACGATAGACAATAGAACACAGACAGACGCGTGCGGAGCAGTAGCTGTGGGCCACTCGGATGAATGGATGGACTGCGACTGCGACTGCGACTCACTCACAGGGCGCTCAACTAATGCGCGGACCGACTACGTAGCCCCCCATCTTCGCGAAGCAGACACCAAAGACTTGCAAACCAGTCGCCAGCATCCCAAAAGAGAGAGGTCTAGGAAGACTCGGCAGTGAGAGCTAAAACGCCGGTACATTATGCGCAGCAGTTGGGTTCTCAGGCCCACAACGAATACACTCACTAAACATCTTCACCCCCCCCCTCATGTTCACCCCCCAACATACCTTGACACGCGCAAAGAGGATATCTGTCCATACTCACCGCTATACGGACTCTCGCCCCCTCCCCGCGACAAGACCGATCACAAACATTATATAGAAAAAGGGGCCCCGTCAAGACGACGCTGGAACAAACAGCATGTACCCGCGGGCACGGGGAAAAAAGTACGGTCAAAGCAATGGTCAGGTGACTAAGGCAATCAACACATTTGAGTATGACCCCCTCCCATTCCCCGTCTCTCGCTTAAATTTCTACCCTAGATAAGAAAGTATATGGCTCTTTCGAGACTCCATCCACATACAAGAATGTAGACCTACAGAATATACCGTTTGATCCCCTGCCTGGTTTCTTGCTGTTTGCAGGAAGGACTAGTTTCATGGAAAAACCACAAGACCCAAGGGCAAGCACCACGGCATTCAAGTGAAATCTCGATACTTTCACGTAATACATATCTGCATACATGGCATGGCTACGGGTACGTTCTTCATTGTACTTTGGCAACGAAGAAAAAAAAAAAAACGATATCGACGAGAAAAAAAAGAAAAAAAGATGCGGTGTTTACCGTAGGACCGGTGGCACCGCAGACTGAAAGTGGCGCCCCTCAGAGGCTGCAACCAAGACGGAAAAAACCAGCTACACGGCTCCCCCAAGGAGCAGGCGCCCACCAGTCCTGGCAATGGTGATAGCGCCGCTTCCCAGGGGCCTTTCTTCCTTTCATATGCCGGCCACGCTTCCACCGTTTCTCGTCGTTCTTGATCTCGCCACCGAAAACATGGCGACATCATCCCTCTTGAGTTCTCCCGAAGCGGCACCGATCGAGCCGACCCAAGCCCTCGTCCGTCTCGCTCCGCTGTAGGGAATCCCAGCCGAAGTTGGACTCTTGGCAAGAGATTCTACCGCGTTCATTGGTCGAAAACACAATTGCTCGGCGCATGCCCGGAAGCTGACCTCTACCCTACCCCCACCTAGTACGATGATCGCACACACGACTTGCACGCGCTGCACGGTCCACGGGGGCCTGCCTCAGCCAGCCCACGCCAAATGATACACCCAGCAGGCACTAAACAGTACTTGTACAGACGTGTTGCCGTCCTCGTCCTCCAACATCGAGAACAACAACGCAGGCACGCGTCGCACACCTCTGTCTCGCCGTATCGCCCATCTGAGCTCTCGCCGCAAGCACAACAGATGTGACGAACGAGCCTTACTTCCAACGCCGCCGCCGCGGCACCCCCTAGTGCCCCACGGCACCCTCGTAGTACCCCACGAAACCCCCTAATGCCCCACGGCACCCCCCCCCTAGTGCCTCACGGCACCCCCTAGTGATCCATGGGGGACCATCATAACCCACGGCACCCCCTACTTCCCCACGCCCCCCCCTCGAGCAGCCTGGTGCTGGTGCGCCGCCCCGAACGCCAGGGCGCCAAGGAACGCGGCCGTCGCGGTTGCGAGCGGCAACACCAGGCTGGCGGGCTCCCGGAGCATACCGGGGTCGGCCGCGTTGGTGTCGTTGATGAAGTCGTTGGCGTTTCCGGCCAGGAAGGGCACCGGGGTCGGCATCAGAGTCAGAGCCGGAGCTGGTGTCGGAGCAGGCGTTGCTGCGAGGGGGGGGAGTGGGTTGCGTGGTGAGTCGGCGAACGTTGGGTGCTTCAACAGATCCGTTCGATTCAGGTGTATCATTCTGTGGTTGATCAGGCACCGACTAAATACCTGCCACCAGCAGAATATGAATCAAGATCCATTCAGAACGAAGCCTGGGGTTCTACGTAATAATACACAGCTACAAGTGTCGCCAGCAGCAAAAATGAACGAAGATCCATTCAGAATCAAGCCTGGGGCTCCACGTACGCGAAGAGTATAACAGCCTCATCGACGGGGGGCACAGCAGTAGCTGCATGTGCACACAGGGTGTTCTCACCAGGAATGATGCACGGAGCCACGATGTCCCCGCCGCATACCCGTGCGGAGTTGATAATGGTGGAAGGGCAGCAGTCCGATGCGCCAGCGGTTCCGTTGACAGATCCACACCCATCGCCGCCGCACAGGCCACAATTCATCTGAAACAGAGGCAAGCGAAACAAGAGGGACGCACAATCGCGCACAGGGGGAAAGGCGTAACTCACAAAGAAAATAATGAAGGCTCCAGTGTTGACCGTCCTACAGCAGTCGCACATGCCACCGCAATTCAGCTGCAGAGCGACAAAAATAAACGTAACAGCGAACCACGCGTAGGAAGAAAAATAACGGTCCAGTGTTTGCCTTCTTTCTGTGTTACCTCGCCTAGTTCGTCAAACATACATGTAGACCGAATGGCGTTGTTATAGACTGGCGCCCAAAACAGATTGGATAAAAAAATCACAGCAGTTAGGTGGGTGTGTCGAAACGGTCGACAGCAGACAGCAGTGATCAGCAACACCACCTGCTGCTGCCAACACAACCAACACTCCTGCGTCTTCTACTCATACCACGACTCACCAAGCAGCAAGCTTGCCCGTCTTGGTATCCAGGAAGCCCATTGCTGCACGTCGACGGGACTGTCATGCCGGAGGGGGGGGAGGGGGGGGGGGCGTACTCATTTGTTGCTTGCCTTAGTCATTTGACCATTGACCACGCGTCCCTTTCGAGACGGAGCACCGTTCCTACACCTACTAGAGACACCACCAACATTTGGGAGCTCTTTACGTTTCTGCCACAAACTCCATAAAAATTTCTTGCACATCTTATCCCCGTCCTCTAGGGCCTCTTGTGCCCACCATCTATCCCCAATTATCGCGATCGTTTTTTCGCTGTTGTCTAATTTACCAAACTTGTCCATGTCACACCCTCTCTGTCTCATTTCCTCCTCGAGATCCTCTCTTTCCTTCCTGTACAACTCACACTCCCCAACTATGTGGGGTCTACTCTCCTCCGATTTGCCACATGGATATGTGTGTCTATCCTCCTCTTCCTTTCTCCTACGGCTGGTGTACCTCTTCCTCCGTTCTGGCAAGTCCAGATCGCCTACTCGAAATTGCAATTTCAGCTTTTTCGCGTAGTCCATGGGGCCGTCCAAGTACGTCTTCATCCCTATCCCTTCTTTCAACTTCCCGTATATCTCCAAGTGGTCTTCGCTTCGTACCTTCTTCCGAAGGGTTGCCTCCTCCCTACTTTCTAGCATCTCCTTGACTTTCGTCTTGAATCCCCCGAACCCTTCCGTGTCCAACGTCTCCTCCTCGTCTCCTATCTCCTTCCAAACCTTCTCTACCACCTTGTCCCATCTGATTCCCTTCTTCCCTGGAGTCGCTTTTCCCCAAGCTGCCTTGTCAACCATGGCTGGTAGTCTATCGTCCGACATTCTACTTACCTTGTACTGCCAATTCAACTTCTGCATGTCTCTCTTTGTTTTAAGAGAGTACATTCCCAATTCTGCTCTCAATACAGTGTTGCTCGTTGTACTTGAACATCCTAGTATTTTCTTGGCCGCTGCCATCTGCACCGTTTCCAGCTGCTTGACGGCCTTTTCGTTACCTTCCCATACCTCTCCTGCATACTCTAGCTTAGGTACAATCACATTCAAGAGAATACACCTCTTAATCCTAGTGTCTAGGTGTGGGTCCGTAAGGATCTCGTCCATCTTGCCTATCTGAGCTTTACCCTTCCCAATCAACTTCGCTATGTGTGCGTCCCATGAGCACTCCTTCGAAATCTCTACTCCCAGGTACGTATACTTGTCTACTACCGGTAGTTCTTCCTCCCCCCATTTCCATTTGAATTCTACGGGATTTTTCTTATCTTCGTTACAGACCTACTGCGCATTTTCCTACGTTCGCCGACAGTCTCCATTTTCGGGTGTATCCTACCGCCGCATCTATTTGTTCTTGCAACTCTTCTGGTGTTTCGGATACCCCCACGAAATCATCTGCAAACATCAGTCCGGACACACTCCTTCCCCCTACTTGGACTCCCTGTCTTACTGCTTCAACCGCCCTTATCAAATCGTTGATGTAAATCTTAAAGAGAGTGGGTGACATCGTACAGCCCTGTGCGACTCCTTGGAGTATATCCACGTACTTCGAAATTTCCCCATCCAACATCACCGCACTTCTTGTGCATTCTGTCATCTTTTTCAACATCCTCCACATTTTCCCCCGGATCCCGATGTCCCACATCTTTTTCCACAATCCATTGCGCCATACGGTGTCGTAGGCTTTTTCTACATTTAGGAAGAAACAGTATGTCGTACGCCCGGCGTCTTTCCTACCTTGGATAATTTTACTCAACGTATATACATGGTCTACACAACTACGATCTGGTCTAAATCCAGCTCGCTGATCATTTGTTTCCCCTCCAACATGTCTCCCATTCTATTGTCTATCATCTTGTCAAACAGTTTCCCCACTGTGCTCAGCAGGGTTATCCTTCTATAATTCCCCGGGTCAGCTTTATCCCCCTTTTTGAACAGGTTCACGACTACTCCTTCTCTCCATCTCTTCGGCGCGTACTCGTGTTTCCATATCCAGTTGAATATCCGGACCAACATGTTAATCATCCCCTCCCCCCCCTGTTTCAAAAGCTCATTCACAATTCCATCAGGCCCTGCCGCTTTTCTATTCCTGAGCTTCGCTACGCAGTCCTCTACCTTTTCTCGTGTGAACTCTCCCTGCAACCCGTCTATATCACTACGTTCCCTCCGAGATCTTTCAACGTTTTCCTCTGCCCACGAGGGGGGGGGGGGGGTATGCGAAAAAAAGCAGGGCATGCAGGTATGCATATCGTCCAGGTACTATTTGATACCATCGGTTTCGAACAAGATGATGATAACCGACGAAGATCATGATAAAACCACGGCAGCTAAAGACACCAGCATCATCATCGGAAAAAAACTGTAGCAGGTCATCCGAGAAAATGACGTGGTATCGATCTGACACCAGTCAACGCGAAAGGGGTGGATACCAACCACCATACCCTTGCTGTCCATGACGACGACCACCATACCCCCGTATCGATCCGAGCTACCATGTACCATGGTGTGTACCACGGGACGACTGACGGAAAGGGGGTGGATACCACGATACCCTGCTGTCCGGCCACAACGACCACATTACCCACATATCGATCCGACCCAACATGCACCATGGTATGTACCATGGGATGACTGACGGAAAGAGAGAGCGGATACCACCATACCCTGCTGTCCATGACGATGACCAAAACACAACACCTACAAACGCACACCAACAGCACACGCGCGCTCTTGCTCATGGCTTTGACTCACGGACGGGGGCCGCCGACTCGAACACCGTGGGGGAAGGGGTAGGGATCCAGTCGCCGATGATGCACGGGGCCGCCTGTGTGTCCAGGCAGTCGGTCCCGTTGATGGCGATGGTGCTGGAACAGCAGGCCTCCGAACCGCCTGTTCCGGGAATGGTGCCGCAGCCCTCGCCGCCACACTGACCGCAGTTCTCGGCACAGCTGAAAAGAAAGGCACATACGGGGGGGGGGGGGGGGGGACTCCTGAAAACGTAATCGTTAAACCATTGACCCCCCATCCCCCCAATTCCGGAACGGAACGATGTGTGCGTACTCATGTTTGCGTGCCCCATTCTTTAGTCTATTGACCACCCGTCCCCGAAAGAACGGAACATTCCATGAGGGGGGGGGGGGGCCTCATGTAAACGCATGCCGTTGTCGTTAGACCTAGCATCCCTATACACAATGCCGGGAAGGAGCGATATGCTGGGAGGCGAACTCATGTTTCGCCTTAGTTGTTAGACCGCGAGTCCCCTGGAGAGGACGGAGCGGCGGGGGTTAGAGTGGGGACAACAAGAACAACGCCCACGGACCACCAGCATTGTCGCTACTGTACGGATAGCAAGGCGAGAAGCAGGGTTGAAGCAGGACAGGACCGACACTATCGCCGGTTACGACATTATAGGTAGGGACGAACGACGTAGAGACTAGGCACAAGGGATCCAGGAGGGGGTTGGAGCAACCCATATTTACAACAGCAATGATCAACAGCAGTCGTAAGATGAGATTTATTGGCTACGCATGGTTCAGAAACGCTGGCAAGATATACATTAGAGGAACGTTCCGGACGGTGCTTCCCCCCCTTTCTGTGGCCATAATTTTTTTTCTGAGAATTTTCTTGAGGAATCCACGATGGGTGAGACTTGGTACACTGTCACGTTGGTGTCGTATACTAATAGCTATGCACGATTCTCAGCACCCAGCACCAACATATTTCGCTCCCGTACCGCCATTCGCTTGGAAGAACAAATATTTGCGCAGGTTTCCGACGAAATGCGTCTTGTGGGTTGGCGAAACAAGTACAACGACAGCAGTAGAACAGCGTGTACACACACTCTTCCTCAGCAACCCTAACCCCAACTCTAACCCACCAAATGTTGTCGTCCTGGACCCCGGCCAGCCCGTTCGAGCACACAGACGCCGCTGCATGGACGAAACAGAGGCACGCGCAACACACACACGTACACACACGATCGAGACGAAAACAGAGAGACGAACACCGATGGCTTGAGCGGGAGCGAGACATTGCGGGAGTTATCGCCAGGATTTGGCGGACAGAATAGTGTACTTTACGGCACTGTACCAATCACGGCGACATCGACCACAACAACAACAACAGAACAGCAACGACAAAAAACGCGTGGAAGCGCATCTCGAGGAGGAGCGCCGAAAACCAACTTGTTCTCACGGCAGCAAGAACGTACAACAACAAATGCAGTGGACGACGACAACAACATACTGTACAACAACAACGGTGACGACATCAAATCAAACTCAACACACCGAAGGGCTGCACTTCCCCAGGTACACCCATGGGTGCCGGGGTGTAGTTCTCGATGATACAGGGAGCCTCCACCCCATTGCCGAAGATGATGCCCGACATCAACACGTCCGTAGCGCAGCAGAAGTCCGACCCT